CTTGGTGCCACCCACCTGCACTGGGAGACTTTGGCCGTGTCCTGGGGCTGCATCTTACTCCATCAGCGGCCAAAGAAAAGAGCTCCAGGTGCAGAGGAGCAGGGACGACACAGAAAAGCAGCCTCCTTTGGGGGAAACGAGGCAGGAAAACACGGGAGCATTTATTTTGACCAAGAAAGAGGTGACCTCCCGAGCTCCCACAGGTAGGCATTGCTGCCAGCTCTCGGCTGACACAGGCTCAAGCTGGGAGCCGCATGCCTGAACCTCTCACCTACACGTTCCTGTCTTTGCTTTAGGCTTTGTACTTCACGGCTTACTTTTTCCATCACACCTCATTCCCAGGTTCTGTTATGCCAGGAGATCATGGGCGGAGGGACCACCTTTATTTTCAGTGTTTGCCAGTAAAACCCCTGCCCGCCTCTGCAGGGCAACACATCCTGACGCTCTGTGCTTGGTGGGACGGCAGGTTTGTTAAGGGACTCACTCTGGCACGTCTTTTGCAGCAGCATCTCACCCTGTGCCCATCCCAGGAGAGCCCTCTCTAGCATCTGCAGAGGTGTTGCCGCTGGCCCAAAGCATCACCCCAGAGCGCAGGGCTTGTCAGTGACACCCAGGTCCGTGACAGACCCATCTTGCAGTGCCAAATCACCAGTTCTCATCCCACCCCAAAACGCCCCAAACTCATGCTGCACGGACTCCACCTTCAACGCACATCCCACCAGCATGGCAGAGGGAAGTCATCTCTTGCCCTGATTTCTACGTTCTTTCTTCAGCCCATACCCTGATTCAAGGCCTTGGACATGCCAGTTATCACCCAAGCTAAGCCTGACGCTCAGTGTGCTCCTGAACAAGACATTCCTTGACCTGCTTTTGTCTCATCACTAATTCACACCTAGCAGATTTTCAACTCAGCTCATGTGTGAACTCTGCGCTGGCACTGCTTAATGGCTAAATAACAAATTCTGACAAAGCTCATTAAAAAAAGAAAGCCATGGATGTCAGCAACATGCCTTAAATCTGACCCCCGGCTCCAGGCAGGTCTGCCAGGGAATCAACTCATCCCATTGGAAATCTAAAGGAACAGCAGAAAACTCTACCAGCATAGCTAAGGCACCACTTCTTTTTGTTAGAGATGTGAAGCAGACAGGAAACACGGCTTAGGGACGCTAAACAGTCCAATGGTTTAAACAATTAAAACCCACCCCTGGGATGCATACTGGCAGGAAAACCTCAAGACACGATTACAGCCTGGCTTTAGGGAATTTATCCACGGCTCACCTAGAAACACAGGGAGCCAAAATCCCAGGAACGCTGCTGGTGCTGCTATGGCTGTAACGCGATATGGACATGTTGGCACAGGAAGACCGAGCTGGCAGCTGGGCTGGGAGGACCAAGGTATGAAAACAAAATTCCCTGGCAGTGTTCATTTTTATTTTTCCCCTAGCAAAACAAGATCCTCATGTTAAAAACAAAAACCAAAAACCCAATCATAGAACAGGGGATGAATAGGCTGCTGTCGAAAACATAATTACATTCCCATATATGCTAGGAAGTTCTGAATGACACATTTCTAAAGATGTTTTTAAATAACTACAGGTATTAATTACATATAAAGCTACCAAACCTTTTCTGTCTTTATTTTGAAACCCCTGTCTGGAAGTGTTTTCCATTAGGCAACACCTTTCAAAACACAGCCAGCTATGCAGCGCTCCTGTAGGCACCAAAGAACTGCATCTGAGGCTCTGGACGGACGCAGCACCCACCAGGCACCCCAATGCCAGCTGTGCTTCGCTCCGACGAGGAGGGCGCAGGCATGTGGTACTCGCTGGGGGGGAATGAGCACAAGGAAGAGCTACAGCCCGCCGCTTCCCTGGTACAACGGCCTCTGCAACAGCACCGCTTTCCTTATCCAAGCAGCCGCATCACTGCGAGGTCAGTGAGAGATCCTGTGACTGCATTGCCATGGAGCCGGTTGAGCGGGTGAACTCGCTTCTGGATGTTTCTCACACAAAGGCAAGGACAGCGCGGCCAGGATCGCAGCCAAGGAAGAGCACAGAGCAAATGTTCGAGAGAGGACCCATCCCGCAGGGACCCCGCTTTCCTCCATGGCCCTGGACATCTGGGCAGCGTCTCTGCTGTCAGTCCCACGCACAAGGCGGCTGTGATCAAGCGGTTGTCCTCCTGTCATCTCGTCCTCGCCTGTCTCCATCTAGTGTCTTCCATCTTGGCGTAGGCAGCTCCGAGAAGCTGGGCTACCTGCCTGCTGGGCCCCAGTCCACGGGTGGTCACTGGCTCCAGAGCTCTGGGTTTCCATCATCCAGCTGGGAAAAACTGCATCACTTCTCTCCGTAGTTTGTCCTGATGGAAGTATTGTTTCAGAGCTACATAGCCCACAATTAACCATGATAATTAATGAGAATAATTAAGTAGATGCACAACTAACGTTGCAAGCCTCTAAAACAGAAAGGTTGCAGACATCATCTGTTCCACACCTAAAATTTGGGATAATCAACCCAAAACCTGGTGCAGCAAACAGCAAAGCCATTCAGAGGTGCCCATCCTACAGCCAGTCAGACTGGCTGTAGCAAAAAAACCCACCCCATCCAAAAACGTGGCATAACAGCACTTCTCTTGCCAAAACCCTGGGCAGGGCAATAAAACCACTTCCAGGCCAGGAGAGGACATGGCAGAAGTGATTTTGCAAAGGCACGATACAGCGCTGGCAGCACTGGAGAAACGGCCAGCGCTCTGCCGGGCTGCCACTTGGGGTACTGGGCTAAAATCACACGTGGAGCTCTCAGAGCTGGGAAGCTCCCTGCAAACGTTTTTTATTTGAGAAATAAAAAAGGAGAGAAGCGCGACAGATCAGCAGGGAGAAGGGTGATGGCGCCTGGGAGAGCCTTACCGCTTATCGGAGGGCAGCAAACAAGGGGCAGCAGAATCGCTCCCCTGCGCTCCCGAGAACGAAAGGGGCGCAGGGCAACAAGTGCTGCAGGCAGCATTACCGGGTGACAAGCGCCTAAGGAGAGGACAGGCAGGGTATTCTCTCTGCTGGAATCAGAGTCTGAGCAGGGTGTCCCGTTGCTCTGCGAAATACCTGCCTGCCTGGGAGGTGCAGGGCCTGTGGGTGCTTGTCGGGAGCTGGCGGAGGACAGGAGCAGCACAGAGCTGCCACAGCCTGGCCATGCCCAGAGCCTGCCCAGAATATCCCACAGTAGCTCCCCATGCAAGGAGCTGCCTCACATGGTCAAGAAAGGCAAAAAAAAAAAAGTGCCCGTTGGACTTGGCTGGCAGCAATACCCCAACGAACAGTGACACCGCAACCTGGTCGTCACGTTCAGCCTCACACAGCCTCTGTGCCACCCCAAAATGATGGCGACAGCACTTCTCATTGCCAAAACCCTGGGCTGGGCAGTAACGATGAGCCCATTTCCCTAAGCAGGATTATCACCTTCCCTCCTCCACACACAGGGGACACCGAGGCAGAGAGCAAGAGAGTGACATGATGGGGGCTCCTAGGGCTATTAGGAGATTAGCCACCACTCTTCCCAACAGGGGCACGCAGGCAGAGATGCCTAAACCACCAGCACCTTGGCAAAGCATTCCAGAGCCACAAACAGCAGCCAGAGACCTTGCGCTTCACAAAACTTTCCTCAGCACAGATGGGGACATGGAGTGACATGCAATTTAAAAAAAAAAAAAAAAACAAACCACAAACCACACACACTTTCCCAGGGGGATACAAAAATAATACCATGTACATTCTAGCTTCCCGAACAACAATCACCCGAGGAGCCGGCACTGTGGGAAAGTCTCAGCTAGCTTTTCCTGGGTATTATAAATAGAATTACGGCTGCAAGCAGGGCTTTAAACATGGAGGAAGGGGGACAAGGCCATTTATCGGGCTCTGTTTGAACTTGGGCTCTGGCCCGCATCCAGCTTTCTGCAAGAACAGCTGGTCACTTCCTGCCGAGCGAAGACTAGCGTCGCCACGCTGGGAACCAGGAAGCCCAGGCCAAGGGCTCCCTCTCAGATCCTGGAGCCTGCGAGCTCACCAGGGCCATCATGCCTTGGGCTGCCATGTATGTCATCACTTAGGAGCCTGCTCCGCTCCTGCTCCGGGCCAGGCCTGTGTCCTCCAATGTGCTGTGAACAGACAGACAGCATTGAGATGGGGCAAGTAGGCGTGAGAGTTCCCCAGGAGTCTGACCTGCAGGGCTTGTGTCTGAAGGGTCTCGAGAACTTCTCTTCCAGACTGGTTTCTTGGCCCACGTGAAGGCTCAGTGACCGCCAAGCCCTGCAGGACCAAATCCCACAGCTTACACACAGTTGCCTGGTTCTCCAGGCTCCTTGTCATTGACCAGGTGACTGCTGCTGCCTTTCCCTTACGGGTACACTGCTCATCATGAGCCCCTCGTCATGGGCAGCTCAGCATCCTGTTATCCACATATTCATCCTCTCTTCCTTATTCAAGCTCATCAAGGCTGCAGTTCCCCAGGCTGGTTTTTAAAGGCTAGCATCGTACTTTAAGCAGGATATCATGCATCAGAGACAGAAGCTTGTTCTGTAGTGGCACCCCCAGGGCCCAGCTGTTCATTACTCAGTCTCGCTGCCCCCAAACCTCTTCTCCCACCACTTTAACAAGGACCCAAAACACATCCAGAAAGCTGCCAGCCTTAGGGCCCCAGGCCTCTTCCACTGCAAGAAACAACAGTTTCCCACCACGGCCTTGCTGCTTCTCATCTTTCCTCACAGCTGCAGGCCACCCGCTCCCCACCCTACTGTGGAAGGCGGCGCTACCCCCCCAGCCTTCAGGCCCACAGCTCTCCCCGGCCCGGTCCGTGGGCTCCCATTGCCTGTGAGCCAGCAGCCCCTCGGGACCCGGTGGGGTCTCCACAGGAGGCGGTGGAACCCCCTCAAGACCTGGCAGCCCCCAACAGGGCCCAGTGTTTCCCAGTGGTCCTCAACGGCACCCAACAGCCCCCAGCGTTCCCCAGTAGCCTTCAGTGGCCCCAAACATTCCCCAGCGGGGCCCTCAGCGGTCCCCAACAGCACCCAGCCTTCCTCCACGGCCCACAACGCTCCCCAAGCGGCGGCTGGCGGAGAGGACGGAGAGAGGCCGGCTGAGCGCGTGGCGCCTGCGCGCCAGGTAGGCGTGGTGCGGCGCGCGCCTTTGTTT